TTAAAAGTTTACCCTGCAACGTTCGAGCCTTTGCCGTGTAATATCCGTTGGAGAAGAAGGTAGGGCGGAATTAAAGTCGAACAGGCGCGAATTAAGGAGGCCTCGATTTCTCTCCGCGTAGGCGGTCGTTTGCATCGATGAGAAAAAAGAGAGAAAGAGAGAGAAAGAGAGAAAAAACTGGTCAAAGGGAGCTTTGGATCGAATCTTCCTTTTCGACGAACCTTTTCGCAAATGAGAAAAAGAAAGAGAAAGGTGTGCGTCTCGAGGAACGATATAATTGCAGGAAATGGAGATTGAAATATCGGATTTTTTTTTCTCAAGGATTTCGAGATAAAGATGATCGATTGGATGTTTTAATAGAGTGACAAATTTTTACGTGCGAATCGTAATTCTTTTAATTTTAAGGAACTAAAACGAGATATCGAAGTCCATTGAAAAGATTTCGAGTCTTTGATATCTTTTCTTCTTTCTTTTTTCGAAATTTTTAACTCGTTACTTGGAAACGTGCGAATTCTACGATGATTTAAAGAATTAATAATTAAAACAACGATATATTCTTTTAATAAAAAAATAAAGGCGAATGATAATTCATTCTCTGAAATTACTTCTAATTTTTTTACGAAATGAAAATTGAAATTGAACGACTGTTGTGTTTCGTGAAATAATTTGGAAGATTCTATTGATGAAAATAAAAATTATGAACAAGCGTTGACTATTCTTCGAAAGTATTAAAAATCTAAAAATCTAAATCTAATAACCACGCAATATCAAAAATATATACGACGAAAATTCATTAAACGAAAAAGATAAAAGCTTCTTGAAATTCGAAAAATTCAGGTCGATGCATTATTTCACAACATAGTGAAGTAATTCTTCGATAAAAGTGAAATGCACTTAAATCAAGGAGATCCTCCCTTGAAATGCGAATACCGTGAATTCGTTGAGGTTACATTGACAACAGAGTAGTCTGCCAATAAAAACGAGGAGACTTTTCCAGCAAAGTAAAATAGACTTGTATATAATCAGACAAACCGTGTACGATTGCGCTAAATGTTATGCAGTGGAATGAGACCGTGCATAGTAGGACAAGTAGAGCATGACGATTTCTCTACTTGTATCAGTGAAATTGGTCGATACACGACGAATACGATTAAAGTAATAAAATAATTTTATTACTTTATTATTCGTGTTTATATTATTTTAAATATTTTTATCGATATTATAATTGAATTTTAATAATTTCGTAATGTTAAAAATAAAAAAAAAATATAATATTATATAATATTATATAATAAAATATTATATAATATTATTGGATCTGGTTGGAATTCGTTTTTCGAACGCGTTTTTATTTACAATAATTAATTTATAATTATTTAAACAAAACAAAATTAATTTATTAAATAATATAATTTTCTCGCGAGGA